GAGGACAGTGAGGGGAGCTGAAAGGTCTTTTTTTTTTCTTTCTTTCTTTTTTTACCCAACATTGTCAGAAGCTCTTCACACCGTTTCTACGATCTTTAAGATATATTTCCATCTAAAGCTGCATTAAAATGCATATCCGGTACAGCTCTGCCCAGCTTCCTGCTTCCGTTCATTTGTCGAATAATTCCAGAGAAACATCAGATTTTACTGAGTTACTCATCGCATGAAATGAATGAATTCATAAATGAATTGAACTTCTTCAAATCAACTCCTCTCAAAATTGCATTTAAATCCCCTTTAGACAAACACACGCACACACACAAGCTGTCGATAAGCACATGTATGACTGCAAAAATGCTGCTCCGTGTTTTTTATGTACAGTGGAACTCGTCAGCATGAGGTCGTGTTGCAGCGTGGCACACACACACCCACCAGCACACAGCTGTGCGTCCACACTGTCAGACACTGTAGATGTGCACTTACCAGGATTAAGCATGGCAAACGGTGCCAAAACAATGACGGTATGAAGTAACCAATGCTGTTTAAAAATTCAAGGGGCCTCCATTGAGCAGACACTGTAGCACACACACACACACACACATCTCTGCGCCACAGACCGGTTCGACTGTCTGCTGCCTCCTTCTCCTCCACCTCCACTTCCAGCAGCACATCTGGGTGCACAACTCCAGTTCCTCCGGCCTGGCAGTGAAAAGTGCGAGAAAATCTTGCGACGGCTGCTATTTTAAAACCCGTCCAAGGAATGTGTCTTCATGGAATTTTTGTATCATTTTGTGCAGTTAAACATGTTAAAAAAAAAAAAAGCCAACAAAACAAGAAAAAAACACAACATTGTGTCCACAACACTGTAGACAGAAACACCTTCTCCCCTCACGCAAACACACACACACTTATTATTAGTCACTTGTCGAGTGGCTAATATCTTCCCAAGGTCAAACCTGACGAGGAATTCCAATGAGATTAAGTGTCATCATTGCGGCTTTAGCTCCTTTCTGCTCGATGTTCTTGGAAGCGGCATTAGAGGCTGAAATGGCCCAGCGTCTTGGTGCCATTAAAACCTCTTCCCCTGAGTGTTTGGTCTGGTTTACACCGGGGATGTTTGATGCAGGGCCCGCAGCTGAAGAATGTCAGAGTGATAACGTTTCCCACAGCAATGCGCGTCCAACACGTTTCAGTTCAATCAGTCAAGCAACTTTGATTCGACTTTCACTTCAGGAGAATTGTGGCTGCGTGGAGATCACTGTGCGTTTAAAATCGCCAGACTGTAAAAGTTGAGGACTTCTGTAGGGTTTGACTCTACAGAAATTGAACTCTAACACACACACACACACACACACACACACACACACATATATATATATATATATATATATATATATATATATATATATATATATATATATATATATATATATATATATATATATATGTAACTAGCTAAAAATGGTGGTAGGGCTGCTAATGAAGTTCACCAGCAGGAATTTTTGCATCAAAAATGTAAAAAAATTGACAAGTAATTTTAAAACATCGCAAGGTAATGACGTGTTGTTGAAAGGCATTATTGACAAAACTTAAACAGCAACTATAGAGACTTCAGAAAAGATAAACACGGTAAAGTACGTATTTTTCTGCACTTCCTAATGAAGTAATCAGCCAGTGGATCTTAAAACAGGCCGTCTTAGGCTGTTCACATTTAAAAGTAACATTCGTTAAAAAAGATTGTACAATGAATCGCTAAATATTCTCCGGGTACAAGATTCAACAATTTTTTTGTATTGAGGCTTTTTGGTGTGTGTGTGTGTGTGTGTGTGTGTGTGTGTGTGTGTGTGTGTGTGTGTGTGTGTGTGTGCATTCATTCCTCAATCATATGTGAATCCGGTTTATTTTCAGAAAACCTCCACTGCAGCGGCAGACTCATCGCTGTGTCAGCCATCGTCTGCCGCTCTGCCTCTCTCACTAAATCTGACACATCGTCGTTCAGGGGCAGGAGTGAGCGCTTTTGTCATCTCCGTCTAAAGTGCCAACTCGATGTCCAATTACGCCCCGGCGACTAATTTAATTACAGTAGCAGCAGAAACGGCTTGATTCAATTCATTCCCGGTCGGGCCAGTCGGATCACATTTGACTCGTCTCAGGTACAGCCCTGCCTGTCGCTTTTTATCTCTGGGCGTCTCGGCCGAGGCAAGATAAGCAAGGGGCGGCTGATATGGTAAATAATATAATTTCTGGTTATGCTCTCAGAATGGCCCCCAGTAGATGCTGAGTCTGTGATCTGAGGGAGAGTAAAAACACTCCACTTTCAGTGCAGGCTCACAGCCACTTGCCACTTAGCAGAGCCCCAGCTAAAATAGTCATTACTAATTCATGATGTCCACAATTATGTATCAGATTGTGTGCGTCTTACATAGTTAACCAAGAGATGAGTGGCAGAGTGCAAAGCTGCAAACCGTCTGGAAATAACAAGACACACGCTGCGTTGTTCGGTTATTGTTATTATTTTATTTGTGTTTTTTTTATCCAAAATGTTAATCACTCTATTATTTACCCAAATGATGAGTCAAAATGATGTGGCCCGGTTTGCTGTTTAGACCATTGAAGCCGTTTAAATTAAAACTGCACTTTTAATAATGTAAATGTGTGTGATCGTTTCTTCTAAAATGAAGACATAGTTTTTCTTCATCTCAACTAGGAGAAGCAAACAAGGCGAGCTAGCATGAGCTAAATGCCAGAGATCTCCAAAGTGTGGCTCTCGGGCCATTTGTGTTCCTCAGGAATGATTTTGTGTGGCCCTTAACCACAACAAGAAATTAAACTACTTTGTTTGTTCCACAAAAAAAATTAATATATATATATATATATATATATATATATATATATATATATATATATATATATATATATATATATATATATATATATTTAAAATAAAATATTGAAATATATTTTTATTTTGTAAAGAAATTTAAAAAAGGGTCAGACTAATAAAATGCATTATAATTTAACAACAAAATCAAAAAGCCTGTGTAAAAATACAATTAAACGTGGAGTGTGATCTAAACTCATTTAGTTTGACCCAAAAATTACTTGTAACAACAGTCAGATTAGTCATCTCAACTTTATTTTTGACATTTTCATTATATATATTTTTGTTTATTTAATCCCCTTGGACCTCCTTGAAAAAAAAAATTTTGAGTACTGTATAAATAAAGAAACGGAATGAAAAATGTTTTTTGTTGAACACCAGAGGAAGAGGTTTCGCTTGTGCGTTTCTACCCCTTCACCTGTAAAGTTCAGGCATCTCAGTGCCAGCTGTATCCCACTCTCACAGTTTGGATGAAGGATACAGAAAATAATATTAGCAGACATTATTTTCTACATGAAGGCGAACCGTCACGTAGACGCTGCTCCTCCTTGTCAGTAAAAGTTACACATTTTAACACTGAGATTGTTAAAAAAAATAAATAAATAAACCTGATTATTTTTAATGTAAAATATGTGTTTTTGTGTGTGTATTTATTATTATTAGTAGTAGTAGTATTAGCCCCTTTTCTTATCCTTAACGTTATAAATTGTAACCTTTTTTTAGTTAAAAACCCAACGAAGTGTGCCAGGTTACACCCAACGCTGTCACGTTGAAATGAACACAAGCAGCATCAGGCTGGAGTTGACCCACATCGGTTTGTCTTCAGCCCAAAGTGATGGCTTATCGCACGATACAGCCTGCGACTTCAGCTGCTAAAGTTTCTTAGTGCGAAAATAAAATCCACAAACTCTCCTTGGACTATCCTGACTTCAAATGAGATGTTGAAACTGTACAGTTCTTTAAAGTTAAATCCTCCCCCCACACACACACACACACACACACACACATACACCCCCCACACACACACACACCACACACACACACACTAACTTTATTTCGAAGCGAGCCAGAACCTTTGACTAAAATCCAACTCTCTTAAAAGTAAATGCTAGCACGTGTATTAAATCAATTTTTTCCCCAATTTTCACAGGACTTCTCAGGTTTTTCCAAAAAATATTTGTCAGTCCGTTTGTGCACCGCGACTGTAAATATATCTGGATGTTTTTCAGTAAACACATCAACCAGTTATAGTAGCTTTAATACCTGAGCGTGTGTATCAGATGGGGCAGCTGGAGTATCTTCACACACCGAAAACAACCCAGACTGTAACTTGTTTCAAAATGGAAGTAATATAAAAATTTTATGAATTAACATAAATGTGATTTTATCAAACCGACATTGACCCTCGCAAGTTATAGAACCTGATATTATTATAAAATGCAAGTCTGACTGGTCCACCAGCTACTGGAAATAGTTCAGAATTGGCATTAAGAAGCAATAATTAATAACTATATGCTGACAAAATTTGTCTTCATAGAAGTTCATATTAATAAAGGGAGGTGTGTGTGTGTGTGTGTGTGCGCGTGTGCGTGTGTGGGGGTGTGTGTGTGTGGGGGTGTGTGTGTGGAGGGGGGTTCCCAGCTGTCTGATTGGTGCAGACGGTGCGCCGGGGGGTTGTGCGCCCGTGGGCTGCTACAGTAGCCCGCGCGCGGCGTGTGATTGCGTGTGCGCGCGCGCGGTCGTGTCTGTAAGCGCGTCGAGCTGCGGCGCCGCAAAGACCTCTGATTGGTCACTTACGCAGTCCTCGCATTTTTTTTTTTTCTCTCTCTCTCATGCTGCGCAACTTCAGCGGGCATATGAAATGCTTCCCCAGTCCCCGGAACACGCGTGTAATATCATGTCCCAGCGATGGATGTTCTCCGTGTGGTAAATATTGAACAACCCCTCCGCCCCCCTCACACACACACACACACACACACGCACACACCCCAATTTCCCCTAACTGTACACAGCGACAGAGAGAGAGAGAGAGAGAGAGAGAGAGAGAGAGAGAGAGAGAGAGAGAGAGAGAGAGAGAGAGAGAAAAGGAGAAAAGTAAAGAATGTAAAAGTTCAATTACCCTCTTGGTGTCCTGCTCGGTGCCCGGCCTCCATCCGCTCTGTATCCGCAGTGGAAGACAGCCTCAGCCTCAGCCCCGGAGAGCAGAGAGGAGAGGAGAGCAGAGGAGCTGCTACACCCGCCTGCCTGTGCACTTTACGATGCAGAGAGGGCCAAGCCGCGCAGGCTTTTTTCTTACCTTGCCGCACGGATCCAGAGGGGGTGAAGTGGTTAACAACGGATGTTTGGGAGATTACGCGTTCCTCTTCTCTCCCACCCTCCCTGCCTCCTCCCCCCCCCACCCCCCACCCCCCCCCCCTTCACCACCTCTTCCTCCTCCTCTTCCTCCTCTTCCCTTCTCCTCCAGCAGCAGCAGCAGCAGCAGCGTTTGGTGACTCTCTCGTTGGAGGAGTGAGTAGCCTCGGTGGGGCAGCCAGAACATTGAGCCGCATCCGGTACCGGCAGCATCACTAAACAAGGTTTCAGTTTTTGCTCTCCCCTCTGCTTGCCGGCGTTGGAAATGCGCGGGTCTTAATTGCAATACATGTCTTCATACAAAAAAAAAAAAAAAAAAAGTAAATATCTTACAATTCTTATTCGGATTAGAGCTCAATATTTATTTATTTATTTTTTTTTTAGGGGGGGTGGATAAGCATGTAAATTAAACAAAGTAGATTCCAACTAACTTTTAAGAGGCACTTAAGTTAATACAATTACTTAAATTCTAACGAATATTTTAATTTTTTTATTTTATCATTTTAGAGGCATAACTCTGGGTCCATGAAAGCAGAATATATATATAAAGCAGAATATATATATATATATATATATATATATATATATATATATATATATATATATATATAATATATATATATATATATATATATATATATTCTGATCGATTGCTTAAAGAATCCCAGTTCTGGTCAGACTGATCTCTGCTGCCGATTGTTGGAGTGGACGAAAAATAATTGACAAATCTTCTTTTTGCATTTCCACACAGAGAACACAGGTTTTAAAATCCTCAAACTCTTCAGAGTGGAATTATCCTGCGAGATCAATATTGTTAAATATAATACACACACTATAAAAACTGTGAAACAGCCATTTAGTGTAGCACTGACAGTTTTTCACAGCCCCTTAAGAAAAATAGGGTAAGCCAAGCGCTACCTCTTTGCGCTTGGCTTGGCGGCTAATAGTTAGCCACCCGTGTGTTGATTTACAGTGCTTACAGATCTTTAGCGTCCTGCATGTTGTTCCCAAAATGCTGCCAGATAAAGTAATTCAAACAGCAACACCTGAGCAAGTGTTGTCTATCAGCTCCACTTAGTCAACACGACAAACCAATTCAATAACTACTTCCTCTTCCGCTTCAAAATAAGAGCCTCAAACGTGCACAAAACTTGTGTCCAACTTCAACCACATTTGAAAATTAAACGGCAATGTTATTTAGTCAGACAGAATCAGCTTGGACTAAAAGTATTGTGGCATTTTAACGTTTGGAGATTGTGTCCCACAACACTTTATATATACTGCTCAAAAAATAAAGGGAACACTCAAACAACACAATATAACTCCAAGTAAACCAAACTTCTGTGAAATCAAACTGTCCAACACTGATTGACAATCAATATCACCTGCTGTTGTGCAAATGGAATAGACAACAGGTGGAAATTATTTTCATATTTATTTCATTCATTCAGATCTAGGATGTGTTATTTGAGTGTTCCCTTTATTTATATATATATATATATATATATACAACTTAATCAATTTGTTCAAAACAAAACCTGTACCAACGTGTTGCTGTCGCATGCGGTGCAATAATAACAGTGGACTGATGCAGCATTTTTGGGTTCAGTTCGACAGTCGAGGGTGAGATTCTTACTCATAAAGAAGCTAATGTTTGAAAATGTGGTTAAAACTTCTGGACTCTTCCCGCCTGAACTCACATAGCCTGTGAGATCGTTTTTGCAGCATCTGTGAGCTCATCGCATTCCAAGCGGGATAAAACCCAACCCGAACAATTTTTCCCCGGACTTTTCGGACCCCCCCCCAAAGCCCCTCCTCCTGCGTCCACCCAGAACTAAAGTGGCACCTGGACTTAAATGGCACCTTCCTTCCTTTCCCCCCACTTTCCCTTTCATCATCAGCAAAATAAAAGATTAAGCCTGTACGGAGGGGATTGTAAAGGCCTCTCCGTCTCTGAGGCACGGGGCGGGGATGGGGGGGTCGGGAGGGGGGGCATCTTCATTCTGCTGCCTTTGTGATGATATTGATGATGATGATGGCCAAGTGGACAGTTTGATTTTTGTGCGGTGAGCTAGTTATAAAGAATCAATATTATATCAAGGGGGGTAACTTTGGTGATAAAAGACTCCGGCCACTGCGGCTATTCATCATAAGTCTGTAGCAAGCAGATAGGTCAAAAGAAATTATATTGCTCTAAAGAGTGTGTCTCCTTATCTCCCGGTACCAGGGGGAGTGGAGGACATGCCGATCGATACAGTATGGCTGCCGTGGACTCCTTGCAATTATCAATAGCTGATTTTGTCTTCCCGGGGGCTGCATCTATTAATACCAGATAATAACACCCTCATGGACGCATCCTACCGAGGGGGATGATGCGGGGCGGAGGTGGGGAAAGTAGGAGTAAAGTTTGGTCTGCAGGCCGACCTTGTTGTCAACAGGGGGGGAGTGGGCATCAAACAGACAAGAGGGACGGAGGGAAGCCTTAGGTTGAAAACACACACAAAAAAATAAATGAATAAAAATACAATTGTCTTCCGTCTGAAAAGGTGAAAAGACGTCCGGATGTCATTTTTCTGTTTTTTTTTTGAGCGTTTAGACAGAAGGCAGTCATCTGTTCTTTGCTTGCAGTATAAGTTTCAATGTCAGCGCGTGGACTGAGCGCTCTGCTGATCAGCGAGTTTATCAGACAATCGCTCCAAAGAAATATTTTTGATGGGAGTTCGAGGAGAACTTTTAAGATCTTCAGCTTTTGGAGGCGACAGTCAGACGTTAACATGTTCATGATATACACAAGATCGGACCAGGCTCCCAGTTTATCAAGGCTTAACAAAAATTTGCCTTTTTAGCAACGTAAACATGGGGGGGTAACGTTGTCTTTGGGGGATAATGATGCCATCTTAGCCTTTATAGCCTGATTGCAGCTAAATAAAGTCAGGGACTCGTCGGCTGCTGGCTAGGCCATTACGTCAATCGCATCAACAACTTCTTTGACAGTTAGACGTCTTTGCGCGTCTTAAAGTAGACGTCCATTGTTTGGAGCGACCGCTGTAAATTTAAGGGGGAAGTTTGGTGGCTCTGAGGCCAACATTTGGACAAAAACATGATGAAGAGATGCATTTTGATTTCAGAAGTCAAAATGCAGTTATTTGATCAACTTTGAAATATGAACCTGTAGGGATCCTCTCGGAATCCAAAGTTCAGCTTTGACTATTCTTTAGGTCCGTAGTCTGGCCTTCGAAGTATTTGTTTAGACTAAGTTTAGACAAGATAATGTATAAGTCAAAGAGTTGCTTTTTTCAGTGCATATCTCTGTGCTAAATAAAGGGACCGACCACCACCTGAAATAGCCACAGGAAAGACATTCAGGAAGTCCAGTGTTTGGGCCTGAATGTGGAACTTTTGGAGTTTGGGAGTAAAAGACAGACTCAAATATGACCAGGAGACATATTTGTCTCGACAAGTATAATAAGACAAATGGATCTTGTTGTGGTCTTTTCAGTTTTCAGCCACATGCTTTCTTTTGGTTTAAATATGATTGGCTGACCTGACATAGAAAAATAATAGTAAATAACAATTCCAAATCCGTCCAGGTCATGTGATTGTTCCAAATTTAGCGTCAATTTTGAGGTCAGAACCGAGTTGAAGGAGCAGAACCCTGCAGCGTGCTTCGAGTTATCAGCCATGGGAGAAATATAACGTCCCTTGGTTACATTTGATCAACCGTGACAACTTTTCTGCCGCATTAATCCGTCAGCAGACGTCTTTTGAACTTTAAAACTGCATCTCCACGTTGCACGAGTCGAGAGAGAACGCCGCATTTCCCGTCCCTGCTCGATATAAGTTTACTCACAAGTTCACCACAAGAGAAACCTCCATTAACATCCATTGTTTGAAGGGAGTGTTCCACATTTACAGAGGGATCAGATGGCTCTGAGGGGGAGAGAAATATATTTGCATCAGCGAAAGAAATCCATGAGCTGGAGACGACTTCATGCTCCCTGTCTTGTGATGTCTCGCAATAATGTGGAAAAACTGTTTGCAAAATTCAAAATAGAGGCAGTAAAGGTAAAGCTGTTTAAAGTGGGCCAAATCATATCTCATTTATTTGCTTTTTAATGAGCGCCCAGACACTTGGATGCAAGTATATATATATATATATATATATATATATATATATATATATATATATATATATATATATATATATATATATATATATATACATATGTACATATGTATTTTGTACATATGTACATATGTACATATGTATTTTAATATTTAATTGAAGGCCACACGCATGTCGATTCACCAGATTTGAGATATATGCACATATAACTCTCATATTTAATTCTTATATTATATTTCAACCCTCAAAACAAGACCAGCTGAGCGTCGACAAAACTTCAGAGTGGAAAGGCGCAGAACTTTCCACGAAAATCCGTAGGAACCCGGGGCCCCTGTATCGATCCACCCCCCTCCTCCTCTTTCTCCTCCTGCCCCCCACCGTATGATGATATGATGGGAGGTCGACTCTGGGTGGTTCGCTGCCGGCGGAGGACGGAGGGGACGAGCCACTGAACAGCAACGTGGTGGTACATCCTAGTGGCGGCTGAGAGCAATGGGCTGAACCCTCGCTTGGGGGTTGACACTCGCGCGCACACAGAGAGAGAGCGCAGTCCCCCCTCCGCGCACACAGAGAGAGCCGTGCCCAGCAACGAGAGGCAGCGACGCTGCGAGCGGGCAGCCAGCAGATCATTTCAAAGTTGGCTTCGCTTCCCGAAGAGACAGAAACGAGGGAGGAGGGGGGAGGGAGATAGAATCCACGCCGTGACCCAAGTTTCTTTTTTTGTTGTTGTTGGGTTTTTTTTTCGTCTGGGAAACAAGCGGGTGTTCTTTTGCTTTTGTTTTTGTTTTCTTTAAAACCTTACTTTTTTTTTTTTTGGTGTTTTTTTTTTTCTTGCTTTTTTTTTTTTTTTTTTTTTTTTTTTGGAGCGGGGTCAA